AAAAAAAGCACTGCTTATGTCTGCGTAGACACTGGGCAAAGCCTGGCATTAGGAGGTCTAGGGTCAGGGGACCTTAATGAAAAAAGCACTCACATCAGAGTCAGGGAGACCTGGGCTCACGTCTCAGCTTCATTTGCACATGCTGTGTGGTCTTGGGAAAGTTATCTAACGTCTCTGATCCTGTAGCATGGAGACCTACAGAAGGTGTATTTATCATTTTATTGCTTTCCTGCTTCTTCTTGCCTGAGCAAAAATCTGTAAGTGGTGAGTGTTTTAGTTCCTTGGCATTCCGTGGCTGGACAGTCCAGAGGAACTAGGCAGGGGCGGGTGGGAACGTGGAGAGAGATTGGGGGGGCGGGGGCGGGATGATAAACCATCCAGGCCTCGGGACTCATGTGTGTAAGAACCCTTGGCATCTTTCACACCCCTCTCCCAGGCTGGTCCTCCGGCTGTTGACCGAGGACAGCGAGAGCATCTTTCCCCTGAGCGCCAAGTTCGGGGCAAGCCTGGAGGCGTGTGAACGTCTGCTCAAGTCTGCCAGGGACCTGGGCTTGGCTGTGGTCGGAACCAGGTGAGAGCACTGGTTTTCCCTGCCTGGGAAGCACACTCTGAATCTCCAAGGCACTTGCCTTGGGTGCAAAATTTAAGGGGGCATCAAAACACCTTTAATACAATATATTTTTTTTAAACATCAAAATTAATGCAAAAAATCCACGATGAGGAAAGTATCAAAATTTAAACTTAAAACTTCTGTATTTCATTCGTTGTGCACGTGTTTGCATCAATCTTGCTTCGATGAGTCGGTCAAGTGTCCAACCTTGGCTCGGGTCATGATCTCACAGGTCCAGAGTTCGAGCCCCGCGCGGGGCGCTGTGCTGACGGCTCAGAGCCTGGAGCCTGCTTCGATTTCTGTGTCTCCCTCTCTCTCTGCCCCTCCCCTGCTCACGCTCTGTCTCCGTCTCTCTCTCAAAAATGAATGACCGTTAAAAAAAATTGAAAAAAAGATCGCATTCAATGTTACTTATCTTGATGGCTTAGTGTTCAGGCACTGCCTTAAATTTCGCACCTGAGGAGAGGGCCTCACTCGCCTCACCCTACCTGGCCCTGATTGGTCCCCCGGCCCGCCCTGCGATTTGGGGTTCTGTTCACAGAAGGGGAGCCCCGCAGCTCCCCTTCTGGGGCTGGGAGCGCTGGGAGGCGGCAGCTGAGAGAAGTGACTGCCGCACCACCTCGAGGACCCCGATTCCGGGCCTGTCGCGTGCAATGCATGTGTCCCCGGGGACACGCACGTGTATGTCCCAGGTTGCACGTTTCTGTGGGCCGGTGTAGTCACACGTGTCTTGCTGTGTGTATATGCGTGCTGGTCTCCACATCTTACCCCCGTTGGTGTTTCTGAACGTCCCTCTTCTTACTGACCCTTGTGTTTCCATGTGTGGTTCCCCACATGTCATTTGACACGTGTCCAGCTTCCACGTGGGCTCGAACTGCCGAACACCGCACAGCTTCAGGCAGGCCATCGCTGACTGCCGGCGTGTATTTGAGATGGGCCGAGCGTTCGGGCATGACATGAGCCTCCTGGACATCGGAGGGGGCTTCCCCGGAGGGGACGGCTGTGAGCCTCAGTTTGAGGAGGTCAGAGAGGAGGACGAGAGGGAACCTGGGCTGGGTCCAGGGGACAGTGGGTGTGTGTGTTTGTGTGTAGGGCGAGTTCTTGGAACTGAGTCACGTGCATGCATGTGGCTGGGGTTTGTCTTGATTGCCGTGGTTCCAAATTCAGACATCTCAGAGCGCTAGACTTGCTGTGTGTCCTTGGACAAGTCCCTTCCCCTCTCTGGGCCTCCGTTTCTGTTTCCTTGCTGGTCAAGGGGGGACGATAACACTTTCCACAGTGCTGTTATGGGAATGGAGGGGGATGATGCAGGTAAAGCCCCCACATAGGGACTGGTCACCTTAGGGTCTCTCTGTCCCTGTAGATGGCGAGAGTGATCAATGCCGCCCTGGCCCAGGACTTCCCCGAGGGGAGTGGTGTTGAGATCATCGCGGAGCCTGGACGCTTCTATGCGGCGTCTGTCTGCATGGCTGCCGTCAACATCATTGCCAAGAAGGCTGTGCTGGAGTCTGGTGTGTGGGCCAGCACTGGGTGGGGAGGGCACTGTCCAGATGTTCCCAGGCCCTGGGGGGAGAGGACGGACAGGGGGTCTGGGCTGCACCCCTGGTACCTAATGGGAGTAGAAATGAACCTGTTAATATCACTATCGTGCTGTTCTCAAATAGCCTGGGAGGTAGAGAACCAAGGCGAAGCCTCTACTCTTCCTGAGCGGTCAGTGAATGCGTATTGTGTTTACGGAGGCAAAGTCACGGGCTACAGCTCGTGAGGTCACAGACACCACTGTGCTGCTGTGCCTCTGAAATTCTTCGAGCAAGTGCCTTCTAGCAGGTGCAGACCCTGCAACAAAAAACATACCGAGTAAAGACAAATTCTCGTTGATTTATTTATTTCTGAGAGACAGAGAGAGAGGGAGAGAGAGAGCAAGTGGGGGGAGGGCAGAAAGAGAGGGGAAGAGAGAGTCCCAAGCAGGCTCTGCACTGACAGGGCGGAGCCTGCTTGGGATTCTCTCTCTCTCTCTGGCCCTCCCCCACCCGCTATCTCAAAATAAATAAATAAATTACAAATTAAAAAACAAAAAACAAAAAACAGAGGTCAGTGTACAATCCCGAGTTTAGATTCAAGGAAGCAATACTCTGTGGACAGACTAAGTGGCTGTGAAGAAACTGGCTCGGTAGTGGGTCACGTCTGACAGATCTGGCGGGCCCGGGTGACCCCAGCTCAATACGCACCAGGAGTGTGATGGGGCTATGAGAAAGCCACTATCTGTGCTTGCTTCAGCAACATCAACGGAGGCAGGGTATTTAGGCGGAGGGAGGTGAGAGTCAGGCTCCAGTCTGTGACTGTCAGAGTCAGATACTGTTTTCAAACGTATCTGAGGTTTGTTTTCATCAGGTAACAGAAGACACCCAGGCATGGAGATAACTGTCCCGGAGGAAGAGAGTTTTTAGTCACGGTTCCCTAGAAGTAGGAGACCGGGCATAGCTCGCAGGGCCCCGGGGGAAGGACCAGGGTGCGTGGGGCAGGAGGAGCAAGCAGGAGCTCTCAGGGGGAGAGCCTCTGGTGTGGTTGTCGGGGGACGGCATGGGGGAGGCGGGTGAGCTGGCTGGGCAGAGGGGGCGGCGGGAGCCCAGAAGACAGGCCTCCACCTTGCTTGGGCTCCAGAAGACCCCTGAGACAGAGAACAGGTGTTACCAGCACTGGGTAGCGGGTCTGGGCCCCTCCCAAGGGCGCTGCGCTCAGGGGTTGAGGGTCAGCGGGGAGACTGGCCAAGCACATCGCCGTCCTGCCCTCTCCCCACTCCCAGGAGGCCGCCGGAAACTGCTGTACTATCTCAACGATGGCCACTACGGCATCTTCCGCGTCTTCCTCAGGGAGCCTGCCCCCAGCACGCCCATTGTGGTGAAGGTAAGGGTGTGGCTTTGGCACTCCTGGACTCGAAGGCCCCTAAGTCCGGCCCCCAGTCCTGAGAGGCAGGGGTGCTTGCAGCCAGGTGGGGAGGTAAAGGACCTCAGACCCTCTGTGGTTTGCAGGTGGCCATTCCACGTGCTTGCACAAGGACACACACCGGGGTGCCTACGTGTATCTGCACGTGTGATTCCGTATGTGTGCGTTTCTTTGTGTGGGCCTGATGATCTGCGCTTGTGCGGGTGGGTGGGGGCAGGTCCGTGAGTCTGCATCGGTGCGCGTGCGTGTCTGTTTGGCGATGCGTGTTTCCACGTACGTCTCTACATGCACGCACTTGTGTTTCCAGAATCCCTGAGTGCGGCCGGTGCAGGAGGCTTAGGAAGGGGAGAGTCTCACACTCTGATCCACACTAGATCACCTGGAGAGCTTTGAAACACCCCAGTGCCCAGGCGATGCCCTAGACCACTGAAATCAGAATTGAGATGGGTGGAGACCCTGGCATTGGTCCTTGGTTAAAACTCCCCAGGTGATCCCCATGAGTGATTATTGAATAAAACCCTCTCATTTTGTAGGGGAAAGCCAAGTCCCATCAGTGCCTGCATCTGTGAACTGGCACAGTTGGAATGTGTTGCTAGAATACGAACTCCATGAAGGCGGGGTTGGTCTTTATGGGTGGCCGGTAGGGTCCTTGCTGGTGCCTTCCTGCTCGGGCCCTGGGCGCATTACCCGCCAGCCCGGGGAGTGGGCTGGGGGAACCAGGGGGTTCTCTGAGTCCCTGCCCTTTGCTCCCTGCAGGAGCTCTGCTCGGACCCACCCCTCTTCCCCTGCACCCTGTACGGTCCCACATGTGATGCCTTTGACAAGCTCTTCTGAGAGGAGGTGCAGCTGCCGGAGCTGGATGTGGGTGACTGGCTTGTCTTCCCCTCCATGGGCGCTTATACGTCCTCTATGAGCTCCACCTTCAATGGCTTCCCGCCTGCCTCCACCTACTACGCCATGGAACCCAAGCTCAGGTGTCTGGAAGGAGAAAGAAGGGACAGACCACTGAGGGGATCTCCGCAGGGTCTGAGCTTGGCGAGGGGAGCTTGTGGCTAAGCTCTGGGGCCCTAGGCCTAGGAAATACCCTACTCCCTGCCGCTGGCCCCAGCAAAGCTCCAATGGTCTGACTGCTCTTTGACACTGGCCTCTGCCTTTGGCTTTGACCCTGTCACAGCCTCTCCCCACCTGGGTGGCTCCAACAGCTCTGACGTGCACACGCCTTTGAAGGCAAGATCAGGCAGCCCTAGGGCCCCAGCTGACCCTCAGTCCCATGGTCAAGGCCCCACTCTGCTCTGTTTGTGACGGCTCCCTGGTTTCCTCCCCTAGCAGCTTCCAGGTCCCTCACAGCCTCTGCCCCAGCGTCCCCTCTCTGCCCACCCTAAGGCTCACCCCCTGAGGTGCAGAGGGGACTCTAGAACCTTCCTTTACTGGTGCAATCTTCCCACAGGAGCCTGCTGGGGACGGCACCTTAGGCTGGGAGGTGGTGGTGGAGATGCTCCAGACTCCGTGGTATGTCCACGCGGGGACACGTGGGGTGGGCGTGGGGGGCCGCCACAGGGGTGGGCGAGAGGTTTGGGTGCTTCTGAAGTGACGAGGCAACTTTCAAGGTTCAAAATTGTTTATCTCCCAAAGTGGACCTGACGTCTAGGCCGGCTCCTCTGGCAGCCACTACCCCCCCCCCCCGCCTGCCCCTGACCCCCTCCCCACCCCACCCCAGATCCTGGTCCTGGGGACGGGGGCTGAGAACCTTGCGGCTTTACAACAAGTGGCCCCGGAGGCTACGTCCTAGGCTGGGAGGCAGCCTGCACTGAGCGGTACCTTGAGATCTTTCCCCCTTCCTTTCATTCAGTTAGCGAGCCCTGTGTGGTTCCAGAAAGGTCGGCATGAGCTACGGGCACCCAGTCTAGTGGTGAGAGCACTGGCTTTGGAGTGCTCAGACGGGCCTGGGAGGAAGCCAGGCTCCGCCACAGAGGAACAGTGCTGGCAGTGCCTCGGTTTCCCCATCTGTGAAGAGAGGATAATATTAGTTTCCCCCCCCCCCCCAGGGTTGTTGAGAGGAAGAAGTCATATAGTGCAAATCCTCAAGCAAGGTCCGTTCACGCCCAGGGCCCCGCCTCTGGCTGCCCCTGGTCCCGGGCCAGCCCCATGGTCTGGGCATCCTCAGGGAGCCACATAGCATCTGGCCACACAGCTAATGGGCCAAGTGAGTGCCTCGGGCCTGGCCTCAGCCTCAGAAACCCCCAGGCTGCAAGGTTGGATGGACAAGGTATGAATATAACCAAGTCCGAAATAGGGTGGACACTACTGTGTGTCCTCTGGGCGCGCTAAAACCTTAAAAACGGTATTTGGGGGAGTTCTGAGCTCAAAAAGGAAATGAGTGTTACAGGGGAGGAGGTTGGCAGAGGTGAGGGTGGGGACAGGTCAGGATGACTGGCCACATTCCTTCAGCAAGTGAAGGCCCAGAGGCCAAAGCCACCCACCTCCTGTGTCCTGTGTCCCTTTTAAGCTTCTGCTGATGAGACGTTCTCCGATCCCCAGCCTCTGCAATGGTCCTCCCCGTCCGCCGGAGTCAGCCCCCCTCGGCCAACACCTCCCAGCATCCCTGGACTAAAGAGAATTGTCCCCCAGATACATGGGAAGGGATGGGCCCCAGACGCCGCCCTAGAAAGCCAGAGGGCTCAGACGGCCTTCAGACAGCCTGTCCCCAATTCATCTCCCGGTGCCTGAGAGTTGGGGGTGGAAACATCCACGCCAACCCCCTCAGAGGTGTCTGGAGGCAGAGACATGAGCGGGCTTTAGGGAAAACATAAAGTTTGCTTCAGATGCAAGAGACGTTGGTGTGTTTTCCGTTTTGCCCTCTGATGCTGTGATTGTGGTTATCCATCCACCCATCTATCCATCTACTCAGCAGAAATCTGAGGGCCGAGTGTGTGCCTGGAGCTGTTCCAGGCACAGGTAACACACAACGAAAAGACGGACAAGACCCCACGCTCACGGAGCGAACCTTCCCGTTGGGAAAAGAGACAGCGTGCACAGACATATAAATACATCACAAACTACAGTGGAGGCAATAAATCCGGTGAGGAAAAATAAAGCAGAGCCAGAGGATGGTGAATGAAGGGAGATGTGCTATTTTAGGTGGGAGGACGCGGGGGAGGCCGGCCTGAGGGGTGGCGTGGGAGCGGAGACCCGAGGGCCGCGAGCGAGGGCCCGTGGGGTTGCTGGGTCACAAGAGTCCCAGGCATGGCAACCTCAAGTTCCAGGCCAGGGATGGAGACTGTCAAAAAAAGAAAAAAGAAAAAAGGCAAGGGGATGAATGGGAGTAGGCAGAGTGAGTGAGGGCAGGTGCCAGGAGGGGAGGAAGAGGAGGGCCCAGGGTTGATTGATCAGGCCTCAAGGTAAGGCAGGGCTTTGACTTTGTTCCTAGCTGGAGGGCAGGCCCTGGAGGGGTTGAGCAGGTGCGCGCGGTGGGAGTGCAGAGAGAAAGGGAGGAGGTTCTTGCCAGCTTGGCGAAATGACGGGTGCTCAGGCGTTTGGTAGTGAGACGTGGCCAGTCCAGGGCAGGGTGGAAAGGTCCTGGCAAAGAATTTGTCGAGGGGCCAGCTGGGGTACCCGGGGCAAGGAGAGGAGTCAAGGACGACTCCCGGGCTCTGGGCCAGAGTTGCTGGTAGGGGAACAGGGACCCTGGGGAGGCGCAGCAGGTCAGGAGGGGTTCAAATCGAGAGCTCAGCTTTGACAAGTCAAGTTGGAGAGGTCTGTCCAGCCTCCAGATGGAGTCACACACAAGTATCTGGTTCCAGGGCCAGGGCCAGGCCTCAGGACAGGGCATACACAGCTGGGTGGCGGGGGGCACTGGGCAATGGCTTCCAGGCCAACCAGGAAGCGAGCGTAGCTAGAGAAGACACAAGGCACATTTCAAAGAGGGAACGCCTGTCGGTGGGGGAGGGGGACGGGGACGGGGAGGCCACCGGTGGTCTTTACCAGAGGCTTTCGGTGTGAGAGAATAGGAAGGTGGCGGAGGTGAGGTCCAGAGAGGACGGGTGAGAGGGTGGGCGAGGGCACGGCTTCCAGGGACTTGTGTCGGACTCGGGCTGCGGACTATGGGAGGGTGGCCGGGAGAAGGGCAGGTCCCGTCAGGAGGTTGAAGATGAGCGATATTACAGCTTGTTTGTAGGCTCAGGAGGATGCTGTGCTGGCTGGCGGGGAAAATAACTAAGATGCAGAAGAGAGGGGCCGGTTACCAACGCGCGACCTGGGGGGGGGGGGGGGGGGCGGGGGGAGGGGACGGTGAGCCTCCAGTGCCCTGGGTGGGAGCTCGGCGGCTCATCCCAGCTAACAGAAGGCAGGGCACACAGCAGCGGCGCCCTGAGGGACCTCGGGAGAGAGTGGGGTTCTCTTCTGATTGCTTCTGTCTTCTCGGTGAAAAACAAGATCCAAGATCCAGGCGGAGAGGGAGGGGGCAGGTGTTTGCAGGAGAGGGGCAGACATGGGGAAGTCACAAGAGGGCGAGAGTGAATGGGCCAGTGACGTGGGGCGCGATTGCCTTGCCCACCGAGGTGTGTGTGGGGCAACCCGGAGCGAGGCCGGGCATTCGGTGTGTTTTGTCTTCATCCACATTCGGCTGCGTGGGTGCAGGGGCACGGCGGAGGGCTCTGCGGTCCAGGCTACACTTATGGCTGGCTACCCCCAAAGCCCCTGCAGTCCTCCAAGCCCTCTCGCGACCCCACATACTGTCCTTCCACAGACACATCTGCTGGAGACTCCTTCACGATGACCCCCCCACTTCGGAGAAGCGAAGGGACCTGGGCACCTAGCGATGAGCGGCAGAGCTGGGGTTAGAATTCACATGCAGGGTCAATGTCAGGGCAGCAGGGGCGTGCACGCTATGTTGAAAGTCATGCGTCCCAGATGGTGGGAAAAAACAAAAACAAAAACAAAAACAAAAACAAAACCAAGCTGGGCAGCTGGGGGATTAAATCTCAGGTGTTTCCTGCCTCGGGAGGGACCAAGGCTTTGTCCAGTTAAACTGTGGTGACTTGCTGCCACCCACTGGCTACTCGTGGTATTGCATCAGGACGGACAGTGCTCAGGATTTGCTTGGCCCACTAAGGATTCACGGCCCGGCCCAACAACGCCTTGTTGCAAGGGTTTGGTGGGAGTTCTCACTCCCCGCTTTTTTTTTTTTTAATTATTTTAATGTTTTTATTTATTTTTGAGACAGAGAGAGACAGAGCATGAATGGGGGAGGGGCAGAGAGAGAGGGAGACACAGAATCGGAAGCAGGCTCCAGGCTCTGAGCCATCATCAGCCCAGAGCCCGACGCGGGGCTCGAACTCACGGACCTTGAGATCGTGACCTGAGCTGAAGTCGGACGCTTAACCGACTGAGCCACCCAGGCGCCCTTCACTTCCCGCTTTGACAAGTGAGAAAATGGAAGCCAAGAGCGGTGTCTTTAAAATTCCGTCTGTACCTCTGGCCTCCATCCGCTCAGGTGTTCATTCATTCAGTAAGCATTCCTGGAACACCTACTCTGTACCAGACGCGGTTTTAGGCGCTGGGATTCAGCAGGAAATAGGCCAGGAGACAGCATTGTTTCTGCGGGGCTGCCGTTTTGGGGGTTCGGGGGGGGGCAGATACTAAACAAGTAAATGGGTGCTGTGGAGGAATTAAGAGGGAGTGGCCGGAGAGGGTGGTTGGGAGATGACATGTGAGGAGAGACCTGATGGCCGAGAGGGTTGGGAAAGACACTCCAGGGGGAGGGAACAGCACTGCAAAGGCCCTGAGGCTCTGCAAGATTTGGGGTTCCAGACCCCGTGGAGCCCAGTGACGCTCCAGCCCATGGCGATCTGTGGAGAAGCACAGCGGCCAGGGCAGACCGTTCTCAGGGGGGTAGTGCCGTTGACCTTCTCTCTGTGAATCCACATCTTCTCTCAACCCCCACCTTACTCACACAGCTGGCCACTCTGCCCTCCAAACTCCTCCTCTCTTAGCTTGGGTGACACCAACCTCCAGCGGCAGGAAGAGCTAGGATCAGTCTCCTGTTACGGTCAAGGCTTAGCGTTCAAACTTGAGTTGTTTCTGGTCTGAAGGAACTCACTGACCTGTCGAAAGCTAGAGCAGGAAATGCTGGAATGTGGAGTCAAAGGTCAAGGTTGACATTTCTGGGAGCTGGGACAGGAGCATGCAGGAGAGAACTGGAGTTATAAGCTGTCGCCGAGCTCTAAGTGTGTGTTTGTGACCCTGTCTGCGGCCAGTGGTGAGCCACCCTTGCAAATGTGTGGAAGCGCGTTTAGAATGAATATTTATAAGTTTGTATACATAGTATGAGTATGCCTTCTTCCACTTCTATGAGTGGTGCTCCAAGAAAGAATACATTTTGGAAGCAAAGTAAGTCCCAAAAGTGGCAATTCCGACATGTAACTTGAACACTGCCCAATTGTGTTAGCTGACATTTCCCAGTGTTTGAATATTTGCCATAGGCTCTATTCTTTGTAAAGCAAAATATTTCATCATTAAAAAAAAGGAAAGTTGTATGAGGCAATGTGTACCCTAATACCCCACTTGAAGATATGTTTGGACACACACTTAATTCAACCAGCCTCAATGCGAAATGAAATAAGCATTTCCACTTCTGAAATATTTATCATAAACACAAAGCTCAAAGGCAGTTACTACGTTAGGTGTTCTAAATTTTCATTTTAAGGAGGACTTTTAAATAGTAAACATTCATGATATTATCATTCCATCTTAAAAATAATTTCTCTTTGGCATTTGCTTTGAGTTAACGTTCTGCTTTTTATTTATTTTATTGTTTTAGACATTTTTTAATGCTTTTTCATTTTGAGAGAGAGAGAGCATGTGTAGGGGGAGAGGCAGAGAGAGAGAGAAGAGAGGGAGAGAGAGAGAATCCCAAGCAGGCTCCATGTTGTCAGCATAGAGCCTGATGAAGGGCTTGATCTCACGAACCATGAGATCATGTCCTGAGCCAAAATCAAGAGTTGGATACTCAATCGACTGAGCCACCTAGGCACCCTGGGCTCTTTTTAAAAATTAGATCCACATTCTTTTTTTTTTAAATGTTTATTTATTTTGAGAGAGCGAGAGAGAGGATTCTAAGCAGGCTCTGCACTGTCAGCTCAGAGCTGGATCTCCTGAACCGTGAGATCATGACCAGAGCTGAAATCGAGAGTCAGATGCCCAACCAGCAGAGCCACCCAGGTGCCCCAATGTTTCCCTTTGTAATGTGTTTTATGATCAAATGTCTGTATAAGGTAGAGATCATTTTTATATCCTGCAACTTTGCTGAATTCATGAATCAGCTCTAGCAGTTTTTAGGTAGAGATCATTTTTACATTTTATTGACATATATCATCTTGTCATATTACATTATCCCATTATAATAATAAGCTATGCATTTATCACTATACTTTTTAAAATGGAAAACCTCTGAAATGTTTGTTATAGCCTTCTTACAGAAAAATGTTCACTGTTTATTATTATGGTCAATCATTATTTTTCCAAAACACATAAAATGTTAGGAAAAATATGACATACTGTATGATTTAAGGAATGTCAGAAAATTTCCTGAGATTCTGTTATCTCATACCCAAATCCCAAAGAATCGTATCTGTTGGGAATTTGGAAATGTTTTTTGAAGCTCTAACATCTCTTTTTTTTTTTTAATTTTTTTAATGCTTATTTATTTTTTTTTAATTTTTTTTCAACGTTTATTTATTTTGGGGACAGAGAGAGACAGAGCATGAACAGGGGAGGGGCAGAGAGAGAGGGAGACACAGAATCGGAAACAGGCTCCAGGCTCTGAGCCATC